ATACGTCTGAAAAATATAACCTTAATTCACTTTAAAAAGTTTACCCTGCGTTTCTTTTTCCTTTCTGCATATATTTTAATTTTTTGGATCGGGTTGTGCGTGTATATTATGATTCTTCGCTGAGTGTACTATGAACCTAGCTCTAAATAGTGATCCTTGGGACGAAAAGTGTTAAAGATTCTTCTTAAAATATGAGAGCGTAAATATTTGCCTCCAAATATCCCTACCCTTTGGATAACTTTACGAAATGAAATCTAACCTCTAGTAGATGAAAAGATCGTTTTTGGCATGATAACATCAAGTTTTGTACTTCTTTATTTGATTTATTAGGGATTTTCTATACACAATTCGAAACAAAACTTTGGACACTATGATGAATTAATTTTTGCTCGTTGGGTCATAGAATCTTAATTATTACTAGTATATAGTTATTTCACGTACTCTTTCTATATCTTAACCGGAGATTTCGAGACTTTTTTTATAGTAAACTCGGCATGTTTTTAAAATTTTCGTTCAGACTTCTTTACACCAGATCCTGGTCCTTTAATTGAATAAATGTCAGTCCCTTTTACCCGATGATGCTGTAAGTATGTAAGCATTGGTTAATATCTAAGTGGCCTAAATAAGGATCGAATAAGGATCGAAAAAATATATACGAAGGTTGATCCAAAAGGAATGTCAAAACTGGTATAAAATCTTTAATAATCAAATGTTATCAATAAAATTTGACATACTAATACCCATATCTATTTTGATTTCTGCCTTAAAAATCATTTAAATAAAGTGCTTTGTAAAATATCAAGATAAACACAACTTTAGGTTCTGTCTATCGCCGTACGGTAAGAATGTTACCGGTGTCGTTATGACGTTACTGTTTGGTACTCAATTTCAGTTCATCTGCATATCTTTTGACCTCTCTGGTGCTTCTTTTTTAATAATCGTTATTGCCATTTTCCTTTGAAAAGCCTTAGTTTGAGTTGTAGTATTAAAATTATTTGAGCTTTGTCCAATATTATTTTTAAATTCATTTTTGTGTAGATCTTATGTATCATCAGATTCAGAATGAATGTCGAAAATAAACGTCACAAAGACGTCGCTAAATTCTTGCCTGCGGCGGTAGAAACCCAATGTTGTGTTTACTCTAATATATTAAGAGTTGCTTATATATGAATGAAACATTAGGACAAAAGTAAAACAAAAACAGATAGAGGTGTTAGTATATAAAGTTTTGTTGAAAACTTTCGATTATTAAAGATATTATAGCAGTGTGGACATTATTTTTGGATAAATCCTCGTTTAATAACATCTTAATTGATCATTTTGCAGCTGATACCCACCATTGCAAACGAGTCAACGGCACATCTGGATGGCAATGAATCATTTACCATATCTAAACTAGAGCTGTACCATCAGAAGAGAATAACTCCAATGATTACATTGAATTCACCTACCCCTAAGTTCACATCTCTACAAACTCAAATCAGTACACCTATTCCACAAACTCCACCGCCAACTTTTTGCCCTCTATCTCTTGGTTTTATTTTACTATATGGCGATTGTAGAAGAAAGGAGGAACAACAATTTTCTTATAAGACAACTCCGCCTCAAATATCACCCAAGCCTGCAATAATTATACCATATTCACATATTCAACCTTCAACGAAAACTTCACCAATTTCACATATCCATCAACAAATTATTCCTGACACTTCACCACCACAAAAATTACCTTTGCCAGCAATCAATGAACCAACTACAGGAATTCCAAGAGTCCCAAAAACTATTACCTTACAGACCAAACTTACACCAAAGACACCGTATTCGGCATCATCTACAAGAATTCAACCAAGTACACCAAACTTTATTCAACATCAAACACTAACTACGAAATTCCCAGACAATATACAGATACTAGGCATACGTTATCATGTATATGATAAACATAAGGTAATTAATTAAAAGAGTGTTTTTATATGTAAATAAGAGATACACATATTCTTAACCACCTTGATAATATTTAAGAGGCTTTAAAAAAACTGTCCATTATTCAGAATCTATTATGTAACTTTCTTTTTATTTTCAGAATATGTCCCGAGAAGTGAAGTGCTTCAACAATTTTGTATATAGAAATGGAAAATGCATGCTGTCCAACTCAAAAAACGAGATTAAGTTAATTGCAACTCTTTCCATAAGTCTACTACAAAATTCCAAAGCTGGCAATGAAAAATATTACAGTTATGTTTCATGGCTACATCTAATAATAGCAACACATTTTTCCGATTTTAAATTAGCGACAGTTTTAGGTATCACAATTTTCCAAAGTAAGGGGAATTCAATGCTTTACCGGGCGAATGTTAAAATAGTCATCTTTCCTGAACATGTGAAAAAATATATCTCAAAACAAATTTTATTTTTTCATGATAAAACTTTTTCGATGGAAAGTAGCAAAAAGAGACCCTCAATCCCTAGACATTCCGACAAAGGTTTCCTGTTTCAATTTGTTTCGAATAACCAGAGTCTCAAGGGGTTTAAAATGAAAATGCAAACAAAATTTACGAATTTTCACACAACATCCAAGTTACTGACATATCCATTTCAAAAAACATTATTCTGTCCAATGGTTGTCCTCGGAAAAGATGAAATAATTTTCAGAAATAATTCCCAACTGTGTCTTATCACAATCGATATATGCTTTGATCGTATGTTGTATTATGTAGGGGATTCTGTGCAAGTTTGCATGGAAGACTATTTTTCAAAATTGGAAGGCAATAGTTTGAATTTCTCAAAGTTAGAAAGAAAGGATATTTGGGTATATCGTTACACACCTGAGGGTATATTATCTTTAGTGTTGATGTGTGTTTCATCTCTGAGTCTTTTGATTACGGTTTCTATATATTTCATTTGTCCTGAATTACGATCTCTTCCAGGAAAATGTATTATGTTTCTGTCTTCTTCACTCTTGATTGCACAATTATTGTTTCAGTTTGGTATAACGCTAAATGATTATCCCGTGGCGTGCAAAGTTGCGGGATTTGTCGTTCATTACGCTTGGCTAGCAAGTTTCTTTTGGATGAGCGCAAGTTCAATACAAATGTTTCTGCAGTTTGGCCGTTTTGTTACAAGACAATCCCCAAACAGCCTCAAAAGACTTTTGAAATATTGCCTTTATGCATTCGGGTGCCCATTTCTATTCATAGCAACTAACATAGGATACTCTCTTGTATCATCAGATGGAAATGAGTATGGTTATGGCTTGGATCTATGCTATATATCATATCCGATCATGGCTATCATTACCTTTATCACACCTGCATTTCTAGTGACCGTAATTAATATTATTTTATTCTTCATTGTTTGTTGTCGCATAGGAAACCATGAAAATGTCCAGTCAGTCAAGTCTCAACTTAATAAGAGTAAAGTTATTATGAAGTTGTCGTGTTTGACAGGAAGTTTATGGATTGTGGGCTTTGTTAATTACTTTTTAAGGTTAATTGTCTTGGAATACGTGTTTATATTATTAAATGCTTCACAAGGTGTTTTCATTTTTGTATCTTTTATCTGTACAAAAAGGGTTTTTTCGATGTTGCGACAGAAATTCCAATGCTTTGGATGTAAGAATACAGAAAACTTCGATAATTCTCAGCAAACGTCATTCTGACATTATATTCATTTGAACCAATTTGTTTTTTAGTTTTCCCTTTGTCCTTCTTTTACTTCTTTTTTGTTCTAATTTCCCTTTTTAATTTTTTTTTTCCAAAAGTGGCTATATTTATATAATAATGATGCGCTTTGGATGCACTATGCCTAAATAGTAGTCAGAGTTTGACACATGGTGCACGAGAGGGAGGCTCCTGCACCATATGTCAAACCCTGACTACTATTTAGGCATAGTGCACGCAGTACAGTTAAGGCTACACATGAAGATAATATGGTAATGAGGTCATAATGAGGTTTAACGTCATGACAGTTGCTCCGCCTTGATAGATCCATATAAGGAAATAGAGCTCAAAAAAGCTATTTAATGATGATTGCGAGAATTTGTAATGAATGTCCGTATTTTCAGGTTTAAATAAATAAACATTAGTGATTTTCTCTTATATAGTAACAACACGTCTTCGAAATAATTCTCTTTTTATTGTGTCGTTTGGCTGCATTCGGCTTCAGCCAAGCGCTTGCACTCGGTGACACGGAATGTTGTTTACATCTAAAAACGTGGCGACAGCAGCTGAGATATGCAGTGGATAAATGCAACAATCGGGCAATCTTTAAAGAGAATAGGGATAAGATAAGAGACCTGGGCCTTGTTTATCTTTTTGATGAGAAGATGATGACGTTATTTCGGGAAATCATGGAAAACTGAGACGATCCGCACTACTTCACTTGGTCCCTTTCTGTTCATTAAGGTGTGTATGTGCATAGGTATTAACATGTAGACATACTATTCTTTACATCGATGTAAAATAACCGTGAACATGTACAATAAGATGTATTATTACAGTCCGTCACAAATTGCAATGCAGTGCCGTGTGTGTATGCCCCCCCCCCCCCCACACACACACACACATACACAAAAACACAAACATTACATCTACAAACATGTAACATAATATAAGCACAGCACGTCATGATATCAAATAGTATAATTTAGATGCAGTCACACTTACAATGTACATGTATTTGTGATGTCAAACTGCACAGTGTATAATGCATGTGCACTGTACATACAAGAGTATTAGACCCTATAAATTTTAATTTATACCTCTGGCAATCAAAAATATGTGAATTTTCAGATTTCAGTTCTTACCAGTGCTTCATATTTTAAATTCATCGTAGAACTTTAACTATCTGTATCACTAGGCTGTAAATTTGTAGAATTTCTACATTAATGAAGATAAAATGTTTGAATTTTCATTTGTCTGACTACATGTACATTAAGTCAGTCTTATATGTATAAACATGTATTTATGTACTGTTTATATGTATAATTCTTTTCTCATTGTAGCTGTCACAGAACTGGTTCAAACTGGCATTTACATCAGCTAGAACTATCAAAATAGATGCATCATTTTCTCCACTGGGTATGATCACACTAAAGCATTTCACATTAATTTTATAGGATGCCAGTGTTAAGTATTTTTTTTAAATGTTGTATAGGTGAAAGAATTAAATTTATCTCTAGTATATTGATTTTTATTTTTTTTTTTTTTACGTAAATTAAGTATAGCTACCAATTCTATTTTTGCAAAATTTAATGTCATAGGTTTCAATTTCCCAAAAAGTTTTGTATCAAAAGTTTGTTTCCATTTATTTTATAAATTTCAGAAAATATAGTATAGCTTGGTTTGTTTTGTACAATGCAATGTCATTTCATTCTACAATAGTTATCATTAAGTTATTCACTCATTACATATATATTTTGTTCTAGCTACTCCCAAACAATTTGAACAATTCATTCAGGCAGCAAGTGTTTCCACCAATAAAATAAAAAGGTATGCTCCATATAAGCTATAAACCATACATATTCCTAGCAAGATTATTGAAATGTTTTGATAATATAAACAGTAGAGTCATGTATATGCTTTCCATGTTACTCAATGCATTGTTTTGAGTATCACTTTCTTAAAACCCCAATGAACTTTCCATAATGGTATTTCATTTTGTTTTTAGAATTGATTTCATCCAGAAGAACTGTTTGAACTGTGGACTGTTTGAAATATTTTGCACCTGCTCAGAAATCCCTTCACAGCCTGCCTTTGAATTTGAAAAGCTGTTTTTAATTAAATAAATTTTCTAGATAAATAATACTTTGTTTTTTTAATAGTACAATGGTTTGAAAGTTTGAAGGCTGTTAAGATTTGAATATCTTTACTTGAATATATTCTGACAGGCGCGTAGCTGCTTATACGCAAATACGCAGATGTCTACACATCGTTTTCCAATTTTAAAAATGGGATGGGGGGGGGGGGGAGGGAAGGGGGAGATTTGTGAGAAGAGAAAAAATATCAATACTATCCAGCAAATATTTGTGTTTCAAATTATTTTATCTCATACTGGTTCGATTCAAATTTTATATTACCATGTCTTTATTAAAAAAAAAACTGTAATGTTTTATTAAATCATTGCCACAACCAAATAAAACATTTATTAATTTGTAATTCTTCTACAACACATTGACAATTTTTTTTTAAAGATCTTTGAGCAAATATCAACCGTTGAATGCTGTGATCCACTAAAATATGATTTGAAATATAACATTATTTTTGTTAATAATTGAAAATAAATATATTTGTTGCTGAAAGTTAAAAAAGAGTAGATGATACCAATATATCATTTTAAAAAATATTCAGCCCCTACATGTACAATAAATTTGCACGGAAGTATTTAACTTTGTGTTAAAAGCAATATTAAGTACTATGTCTTGTATTTTCTAAAGAAAATCGAAATGGCATGATTTTGAATGAAATATTTGGTAAAACCCATGAGCTTCCAGGGACTTCGCCCATGGGTCCTCATCAGGGCCTCGCCCTGGACCAACTGGGGTTCTCAAAGCGGACCCCTGCCATTCTCTGCGTACATTTCACTGCCATTCTGGCTACGCGCCTGTTTGTGTTTTTGGGAACCAACAAGATCTAAATTTCAGCATATATATTGTGTTCACCTGTTCTTTAACAGAGTATATGTTTCTTGATTACAAAGTTTTACTATGATTATCTTGTTTGCGCATGGATTGATAATAACTCCAAAAAATGAGACTAAAGCCCCCCCCCCCCCCCCAATGTGATTTGTGCTACAATACCCAAATAAGTTAAACCTGATGTAAACACTGTTTAATAATTTATTTTTTACGTGCAAGTAAGGTATATGGTATCAAAGGAGCCAGACTGGTGATGGGGGGGGGGGGGGTGTTAGATCTGTAGAAAGGAAAACAGGTAATTAAGTACAGGAGTAAGCTCCCCATTCCCTTCCTCCTGTTCTTAAAACTTTTAACGTAGTCTAGAATTTCTAAACAGCTGAAAGTTTGATAACTAAAATAATCACATATGTAAAAAAAAAAAAAAAAAAAAAAAAAAAATTCTGTTGGAGATATTTTTTCTGTGTGTCTGCTGGAGGAGAATAAATATTTTATCATTGATAGCGGCTATCTATTTTTTATTACAAATGATTGAATCTTTCAATATTTTTAACTATGGGCATTGATAGATGTTGCGGCAAATTTTATGCCTATTGTTCACGAACGGAGGAAATGCGGTAGGTGTCAAATACGTCTTGTGTAGCGTATAAAAAAACGAAGATATACAAAACAAAGTAAAGTCAAGGATTTTTTTTTTATGCATACCGATTTGATTTAATGAAATATAGCCCAGCACAGTCCGTAGGTATTATTTGTTCAAAATTTGCGAGGTACACAAACTCTATTAAGTACCACAGAGTTATCTCCCATGCTGGGTCAGTGATGCGTTTGAAAACTATATTTAGAATGAATGTGTTAAGATTTCAATTTTTAATCAAAAAGTGCAAGGGCAAGGCGACAACCCAAGAGGTAGGTTTTTATTTTAAATTCTTTACTTAACTGTATAGTTTTTAAAAAGTGATGCTCATTTCTTTGTAATTCATTAGGCAATTTAAAATTTCCGATTAAATGATGAAAAATACCCTATTTTTGAATACTGCTGTTTGTTTTCAATGAATAACTTAAATATCTCAAAAATCTGACTGAATGAGCATCAGTTTTACGATAGGGTAGATACTAAGGGACACAATGAAACATTGTGCAGTTCAAATATTGTTTGCCTTGCCCTTGCACTTTTTGGTTAAATTTGACATTTCATATTTTGACCTAAAATCGGAGCTCACGTGACTGTAGAGGGTCACATGATGACAAAAAATACCGATGTTAAAAGCGATGGACAAACTCTTCATAAAGCCATTAAGATATATCAGATAGAGTTTCATGCTAAAAAATAAGACGGTTGAACTTTAAGTGTCTCGTTTTTGTTGCCTTTTTATAGAAAATGTTGCCTTAACTGTACTGCGCATGTGAAGCACAACTCTAATGTTATTATTATGCTGACTGTTGTATAAAAACGACAATATTTTTTTAATCTGCTATGTTACATCAACTCTTACAAACATATTTGTATACCCCTTTTATGACGTCACATTGTTCTACGTGTACGTCATAATCTTTTTTTTTTATTTTGAGTGGTTCATACAATTCGGTATAATGTACAGATAGCTTTTACAAAGGCTTTTAGTTGAGACAGAAGCGAAACATTGCAAAAAACTATTTTAGGAAAATTATTTTGTTAATTTTTATTCTTTGACTGACAAATATTTGAAATTAAGTTCATATATTACAATACAGTGTTGTAGTTAACGGCATCTGTGTCTAAATCGGTAGCTCGTCTGACTGACAATCTCGGGGTTGTGAGTTCGATCCCCGGCGTGGGTGATGTCGGATTTTCCTTAGAAAATGAAGCCATGCACTATTTATATAATAGCCTCCGGCTCGTGCACCATATGTCAAAACCTGAATTCTATTTAGGCATAGTACATGCAAAGCACAAGTCTATTGTTATTATTATGCTGACTGTTTATGAAAATGTCAAATAAATTCCCGTGTGCAGAGGTATAATCTCATTGTCAATGATAAATTTAATTTACGTTCCTTTACTAAGCTTTATACGATCAGGCGTTTTCAATATCCCCTAGACTCAGTTGGTGTATTTATGTTTAAACTGTTATAATAATAAGTAACAAATTAGTTTGAATTTTTTTTCATTTCCACTTTCATCACCCCTTACGGTGATTCTTGTTTTGGTATCAAACATTTTAGTACACCCTATTCTGATGTCACATTGTGCTCATGTACGTCATAAGTTTTTTTTTAATGTTTTATGCAGTTTATCATATTGTACAAATAGATACAAAGAATTTAAGTTGAGTAAAGGGAAAAAAAACCTTACATAAAACTATTTCAGAAAAAAAATATTTTGTTTATATTTTTCTTTTAAGTGTCAAATATATGAAACTACGTTTATTTACATTATAATAAACTGCATTAGATAACACCTTCTGTGGCGTAATCGATAGCACGTCGGACTGACAATCTCGGGGTAGTAATTAAGTTCGATCCCCGGCGTTGTCGCTGTCGGATTTTCTTCAGAAAAAGAAGTCGTGCACTATTTCGGCATAGTATGCTTACGCTATATAAATCCTTAGAATACTATGCGAAAATAGTTGGATATTGATTATATAGAGACAAACTGACAGGAAGCATAATAATAATTTACATCGAATATTCACCTCCGCTTCAAACGACAACTGAGGGAGGATTAACACCTTATTCGATTTCTTATCATTAGTCAGACCTTGATACCCGAGAGATGATTTAGTAAAAAGTTTCATTTACATCAAATAAAGAAAAAAAGACTCATTTGAATATATTATATGAAATAAAAAGCAAATACAGATGTAGTTTTCAAAATCATATTGAGTTAAATATCATTACATATTATAATAATTATTATTATTTTTTCAAAGCTAAAATTGGCTTCATATTAGGCAAAAGGGTTTTCAGTAACTTATGAAATGTAATGTACATACATGCTAAATGATGAGCAAATAATAAAGTGTGAGAAAACAATACTAATTATATTTCAGATTCATTTATTTGTAATCAAGAGAAGGGTGATTCTAATAAGAGTTGTGACACTTTCCCTCCATGAGGTCTTTCTAATTCTTTTTTTCTGACAAAGTAAAATATGGTTTATGAAAATTATGTGTAATCCATTCTTCGATGTAAATATAAGTGTATTGATTGCTTAGATTTACTACATGTATGTATATCTCCTGTATTAATGTCTTTCAGCTATTGACTTAAAGATATTTTCTTTCGCTCAAATATTTGTTTGGTTTTTTTCTGAAATAAACGATCTAATGATGCATTCAGAAATTGTAATTGACTCTTTTTTAAATCCAAGGCATATCCAAAAGGTGAAAGACAATTAGGGATGACTTGATAGTTCACGCATATTTCTTATACTTGCCTATTTGATGTGTCTTTAAATTACAGCACTGTCATTTCTGAAGCGTCAAATTATATCAACAGTAGTAGTAACACATTGTTTGGCTAATATATTATAAGTCGAAAATTAGAATGAATTGGTATTTTACATCTTCGGCTAACATATCAGTATCAGTTATAGATCAAGGTCAAAATATAAAGTTCAAAGTCGTTGCTGCCATTGAGTGACAAGATTTGTCCGAAACATATTCAACAAGCTGGTTGATCATGAAGGTCATCTTTCAATGGACAACTGATATTATAATTACTGTTATAGCCGTTAACAAAACCAATAAATAACATATAAAATAACATTACATTTCACGTTAATTTTTTATTTCCTTGCTGAGTGATGACTGACTTTAATCAATTTTCAAAGATCAGGGTCACTGACTTTAATTTTGATTGATTGTTGTTAAACGTGCAATATTTTCACTCACATGAGACGTCATTATATACCGGCGAAGGGATCCAAAATTAGACATTTACTCGGGATTCGGGGTCAGTGGGCATAGGGAATTGTTTATAGTTCCAAATCCTATCGATACACCGAACCTACGTTTTATGTTCATATTTGAAACTTCCCCCATAGTCAGACTTCTCTCCGGAAATCATGCTCTAGAGCGAGACTTCGCCCAGAAACTTTGCTCAAGAGGAGAGAAGGAGATGAATGACTCTAGGGCAGGAGAACCCCGGGGAAGTGTCACTCTAGATCCCAATTTTCTTGCGGGAAGAC